GAAAGGCGTCTTTTGTACTTGAGCAATCAGGTGCGCATCAGGAAACGATGCATATTTGAAAGAGTTAGCCATTTGTTTTAAGGTTCATTCTTTGTTCCGTAACATATTTTTACCTGGACTGTAGAATGAAATTTGTGTCATGGCCACCTCAGTGTGTTCTAGAGTCGCTGATCCGCATGGATTTTCATTTTGGTATCTCAGGCTTACCACACACGGCGCGTTATGAAATGAACCATCATCAAAACCATCGTCTTGATTTACATGAACTGCAACTTGTATGTCCACATGCTCAGAGGTCAGCAGTCTCTTGAACTGTTGAAAGTAACATAGTGAACTACAGTGTTATAGGTTATTGACCAAGTTTGTTCGGTCAAGATGGCTGAATATTAATTGGCCAAGAGGTCCAAAAACACGCAAAAATAAACGAAGCCAATATCCAACCATCTTGACCGAACAAGCTTGGTCAATGAAGGATGTATTATATGGTAAAAGAACGCTTATTTCTTGCTGGACACAGCGGGTAATCCTGAGTGGGCAAGATAGCGCCATATTGCCCGCTCGGGTAGCCAGCAAATGCAGCGCAAGATTCGGTTCATCTTTGCCGCTCACGGGGCTAGCCATATAATAAAATGGTAGAATGGCGCGAGGTTCTTAGGAGGACGGCTAAATATATTTGTGAGGGGAAACTCTGCATAGCTCTTTCGAAGCCCACGAGTCTTCGCTTAATCGCAGGCTATCTACTCAGTATTAGCTAAACTCATTTCCTTAAACACCTCTCCGAAAATACCAAACGCAACGTCGTTAGAGCCCATATTTGTTGGAGCTACAGTTTCATGTTTTAACTGGTAAAAGTAAGAAGTAATTTGTTTGATTTTAAATTTACTTACCTTAAACGTCACGAAGCGAAAGTTTCCATCTTGTGACTCACTGACGTTATTAGGGGAACGGGATCCGTTTGAACTGTATTGTTCGTAGACCATGTAACTTGGCATTTTAAAAAATAAAACCAGCTCAGTTGTGTTGGCAAGAGCTGGGTAATTATATGAGATAGTGGAATGAACAAAGGTCGTTTTGCTGAAACAAAAAGAAAAATTGAGCAATCTTTAATTGAGGTATTTCGTCCCAAACCTGCCTGCTTATAGCTGATAACAAGACAGTTTTATTTCTAACAATACGGTCCGGCATAATCACAGCACTCGTTTCCCTTCAAGGCTCGTAAACCTAGCTTCGCGCCTCTTGTTTGCACGCGTCTCTCGCACTCGTGAACTTCCAGTCTAAACAAAGCACCCATTGAAGTGCTTATTGATGATCGGGACGCTGTTTTGGAATAAGGCCGATTTTTAACAAAAACACTTTTAAAAGGCGCTTATTAGACACAGCGCACTTATGGGAAGCTGAGGAATTAATTTGCTCTACGATTCGACGTACTGCCCGCTTTAATCTAGTGTTATACCAAATAGCTTACCTACCCTGGAAAGAGGGGACTTCCAGGCACTTTTGATGCCTTCAGTCGAAGAGAGGCTGCCGTTTCGCCAACTATCAAGACAAGCACCTGTTTCAAGAAAATGCCGGAATAGCTCAGTGAAGCGCCCAACTGAGAATGTCCTCATTAGACATTATAATACTGATAAGAAATAGACTGCCTGATGACATGCATGTGATTCCCCATGGTGATTATTGTAGTTAATTTAAATAGTGTAAGCTCGGAGAGGCCGACATCTTAAGCGGAAGATTTCAAATAACCTTTGGATTCATGTAGCAGTAAAGAAAGCGATGTGTAAACACGTGAAATCAGTCAAACAGGAAACCAAACATAGCATGATATGCAGTTAGTTCGGAAACAAGAAAATTTATTTTTTAGCGCTAAAACTGAAAGTAATAATTTGACTAATGCTGGCCCAAATTCCTTTACCGATGGCAACGCATTCCTTCTGATTTTAGCTCTGAGGATATGATGAGGATGACGACAACACTCTCAATTAATGATTTCCTGCCAGCCGCACCCGCCTTGTCAAGAAGATTCTAAAATGTTGGGCGCTATCCATTCAACCAAAAATTGCAAAATTTTCGAAACGGAGACAAATGGTGCGGTAATTTCCTGGGAAAATTTCCAGAAAATCCGAAAATTGTTGAATTTCCGAAAAGCGAAAAGCGAACCATTCAACCGAAAATTCATGAATTTCCGGGAAGAAAGTAAAATGGAACGGAATTTCCCGGCAAGAAATTTCCGAAAAATTTCGATATACCTCTGGTATACCTCCCAAGGTTGTCCCCTTTTCGGGACATTCCGCAAAATGCTATTCCATTCGTCACTGGAAATTTCCGGAAAATCAACCCAGAATTTTTTTATCGAATGGAAGGCGTTCAAATGTAAAAAGGCGGAGCAATCAGGCCTGCTGTTAAATCGACCAAAGCCAGCATTAATGAAATACGTAGCCGGTGCACGGAAGCATTTGAGAGGATTTTTGAAGCTATCGAGCGCATACTTCTCAATAGCATTCTAAAATGTATTGAGATTGTTGTGGATGGTTTTCAATCGTGGTAATTAAAGTTCAAAAAGTATAAATATTTCACGCACATCGCTTATACGGTATTCACAAAGGTCGAAGGTATATATCTACTATACGATGTATGACGGTAGCAACTTTACTTTGGACGACTCAAGGATGTTGCAACTTGAGTGCTTAGAATTAGATCAGCGATTGACATATTTGGCTAACAATCACTCTTAACAAGTTCAAACTAAATGGATGCGTTCTTTTTGAGTGCTTATTTTCCCCAATATGCTTGATACCTGTTTTTATTTCAGTACCAGTTCACTGCCCTAACATGTTTGATATACCTGTATATATACCTTATCTAAATGGCGTACATTTTTGGTAAATTAAAGAAAAAAAAAGAAAAAGAAAAAAGTGTTTTAAAAGTTTATGATGCTTACTTTGTTCGTAAGAGAATAATAATTGATTAAGAATAATTGCAAGTATGACCTACCTCTAAGAGAAAAAGGTGATAAATTGTTCTCCTTTGCAAACAGGATTGTAGGAAGTTTCCCAACCGGTTCATAGCAACTCAGCTTACACGATCGCTCTTTGGTTATTTAAATCGATCAAGTGAGGTGCATGACTTTTCTTTTCTTTTACACCTCAACCTTAGACTATGTTCTGGACGCTGCGTCAACTAGTGTGAAATTAACGAGCGAAGTTGTTAAATAGCTTTGAATCCACTCTGCAGGATACGAACTTGGAGGATCGTTAATGGAAAATATAAAGCAAAACAGTGATTTTAATTTTGTTTATCTCGGAGTCTTTTAAAGTTGTAATTAATATTAATAGCATTCAACGATTTTGAATGCATTCAAAAGTTTGACGCACTCCTGGGGGGAAGGGGGAGGGGGCTCGAGCTCTTTGATGTTCTCACTGAGTTTAAATGGCTGGCCAGCTTTTTTGAAAGTTCGTTGCCACCCTGATTAACGGCAAGTTAGAAATTAGGATGCTAATTTGAATTATACAGTGGTCATTCTGAAGGAGAAATCATAAATGTCCTTTTTCAATTGTTCATAAGTCCTGGATAGACTGTTTTGTATATTGCGCGCTTGGAGATCTGAACCATTAATTACTGTATATAGCTTATGTACTGATTCATTGGTTGGTATCTAGGAAAGAAAGCAGATCAAAGCAATATAATGTTCATAGGCGTATAATTCAAATCAGTTCAGGTTTGGCCATGCACCAAAAGAATAAGTCAGAACAAAAAAAGAGACAGCAGTATGAAAGCCTGGAGCAAGATAAGACATGGACAGAGGAGCGATCATTTTCCACGATCCTGTTTATAATTTTGACCACAAAACGGTCTCTTAATGAATCTTCAACAGAACTATTTACACATGTTTCAGCTGCTTCTGGACTCCTCTGCTTCCAATCAGCTGCCTTTGCTGCATATGTCAATACTTCCAGACAGCTTGATGTAAGAAATTGTTACTGATGGACGTTTTAGTCGATCGTTCCCGCTTATCTAAAATTGCACGCGTGGATCCTATGCTAAATCCGTGGTGGTTTGTACCGTTTTGACCACTATAGTATAGCTGTCTGAATTTAAGAAAAGAGAAATTCAAACCCTTTCTAGACTACTTTCGGTTAAAACAATGAGTTCAGCACGAAATGATGTTAGACATTCTATCGAGAGAAATGAATGACCATTATGGGTGAACAATTTTAGTCGGCATCTTGTCGGTATAACCAGCTACCACAGCAACAACATCTCATGGTTAAGACACCCTTTGATTCCATTTTACTCAAAAAGACTTCAGTAGACCCCATTTCATATTATAGAATTATCAAAAACGGAACCACAACCTTTTGTCCAATGACTGGGCATGCTTTTGGTGCGAACATTTTATGCTTTTAAATTGTGCTACATGATTGCTGTGTGAAATCCGATATTTCAGGGAAGTTGTTGATTTTATCTGTGGAGCGTCTTCCGTTAGAGGGCTCCACTCTGACTGCTAATGAAACTTCGTTTTAAAATAATTTTTATATTTGCGGCTTCGGCAGGGCAAGTTTACCTGTTACCTCTCTCAGATTGTGTTCCTTTGTTGCGTTCGTATAATGAACAAGAAAGCTTCCTCAGGCATGGTGAGGTTATTGTCATTACTAGTTGAAAGAGTGGAGCGGCTTGTGGAAGCAGAGTCGAGAATTTTAGAACAATCTTCTGAACAAAGGGAGTGAAAATTTCCAGAACTTCTCAGGTGTTTAAGGATTATTATAGTGGTGTCCGTATTGTAGAGGTAGATAATCTATGATTTATGATTTCTCTGAGACCAAATAAACGGTCGGTAATATAGTGCACGGTGTCCGTATTATGATAGGTTACTAATACTGGATGATATTTCACTGTATTTGCAAGGTTTCTGTTCATCAATGTTTCGTACCAGCTTCACGCCAAATGGTAGAAGTCGAGAGATGAGCTTAATACGTAACGCCACTAAGCCTTTCAAGGCTCTTTCACTTAACAGTGAAATTTTCCATCGTCCTTACTTCAGTGGCTTCAGAAGTAACTTGGTTCGAACGGCAGGTAAGCACTAGTTTCAACGACCTCCGGTACTTGGTTAGTCTCCACGCGTAGATGAACGCATCTAATGCCACCTTGACGAACATCATTTCATCCGCGATAGTGATCGCAGCAGAGAGGTCAAGCTTCTCTTGCAAGGTTTCCTGTTTTGTGTAAAACTTCATATGAACGGTGATAAGATGGGGAAGAGAGCACACGATGAGAATTCCTGATAAAATCAAGGTTATAATCGTAAACTGTTTCTCGCAAATTCTGTTCGTTCGAGGAGTACCCGCGTAACCGCCCTCAACTCGATTCTCAAGATTGCGCAAGCCTCCGAGCCGACGAGATACTTTGGCGAATTGGCGAAATGATCTCAAAAGCATCGCGGAACCAAGGATAAGCAAAACCGTTATCAGAGTAGAGTGAAGATGGAGATCTACTTGAAATAATATCACTTGGACAACCCCAACGAACTGCAACAGAATGAAACCGGTAAAGTACACCAACGAGAACCCAACACAAGCAAGGACCCTGCGGGTTGTCACTTCTGAGCGATAGTGGTGCGGGTATGTTATGGCGATGTACTGCGTTAAAATGAGGCCAAGAACAAGCAAAAAGGATGCGTTGAGGCCCACGTAAGACAAGCAAACTCCAAATTGTTGTAGGGTGTTGTACGGCTCGCCTGGCGTAGGGGACCATTTTACATACCTTGCAACACGATACACTATAAAGAAAGGTTCAACAAGCAGGCCCGTTGCTAAGTCAACTGAGGCTAAAGCGATGATGAAATACGTAGCTGGTGCACGGAAGCACTTGAGAGGATCTTTGAAGATGGTGAGCAGTAACAACACATTACTAGTTATTGTTATAGGTGACAGAATCGCCAGACAGATGCCAGTAGCGAACTGGGTGTAAAAATAAAATCTGTGGTCTGTCAAATAAGAATTAGTACTGTTACTCATGGCGTCATACAGTCGCCTAAAACTTTTTCCTCAAACAATTAAATGCAGTTTGTGGCGATGCGAAGCCGGATAACCTTTGATTTCAAAGTGGTCGTTGTCAGTTGTGAGGTAGAATGTAACGTTTTGTAATTGTGAATTTTCTCCGCCAAACCTTGTCAATTCCTTCGATTTGCAGCCAAAAGAACTTACTACGAAACGAAATTACTTGGTCGTGAATTACGAAAAGGGCGCAGCTGTCGGTGGCTATGCGATTTTTAAATAGGATATCGATCGCCTTCCACTTAAATTCACGTCATGTTCCTAGACCTGCGATAAAAATTCAGTCAACCGAGAGAGGATCAATGTAAATGCAGTACGAGTCCGATGATGACGGGTCAGCTCTTTCTTCTAATGATTGCGAAACATATTCCTGAGTTCAACTTAAAAGGCAGTTAAAAAATAATTTCATTTCTTTTGTTGTTTCTGAATGCAAAGATTACCGAGTGTTTGTTCAGGAACAACCAATACATGTCAACGATATGATGCTGCGATTAAAAGATGTCAAGGGCTGTCATTTACTGTTGGCAGATACTACATAATTTCAAAGGCAAAATTGCTTGAAGTGTTGAAATTCTCGAAGGAAACTGACAAAGGGAGCAAACTTTGTTTGTCTTCTAAATTACGAAATTTGTAGTCAGTCTTTATTTACGTTACCCCTTTTTATCTTTCATCTCAAAAGACAGTTTAAAAGTTAATCAGATATCGTATAGGGAACGATCCTCTTTGCGGGTTATAATTTGTCGGCTTCCGTTAAAATTGTTCTAGTTTAGCGATTTGCTAGTTTTGTGGAACAAGCTGGCGCCTATTAGTTGTCAGTGATGATAACGTTGGTCGTCGGCAAGTCCGACTAAACTGGGTTTTCTCTCGTTTTGAATGTCAATTTCTTTTAAGAATTGAACCTAGTGTGATGTAAACGAACCACAAGAGAATCCCTAGACTGGACACAAAGCAGTTTTTTCTTTAATGCAGATCATATGCACGAACGAAACTTAACAGGGATATAGAAATGATTAATCTAATATGCAAATCTCTTCTCCCTTCTCACGAATTCGCCGCTCGCCGCTCAATTCATTGAGATCGACCTGCTGCTTTTTTATCTTGGACTATATACATGCAAAGAACAGTTTTAAAATGAACAAGCTACGAGTGTAACACTTATTTTGCTGTCAGGTCCTCGCTGTACATTTTCCATTCATTTATATATACTCACTGGAGTCTACCTGAGATAAACACTACCCCTGCATGTGGTACTCCTCACATGACAGTCAAGAGAATGTTTGTCTCCGTTTATAAGGGTCGCAAAGACGTGTTTGAAAGCTCACCTAGATTTCCTACAAGTCTCCAAGTTATTTGTGATCTTGAAGCCCAACAACACGAGTGTCCATGTCGAAATAACTAAGGCATAATAATAATGATAATGATAATGATAATGATAATAATAAGCTTAAGCAACATATCCGCAGACGCAGTAAGATGTTGATAAATGGCGCCTTTTCTTTTTTCTTTCTGTTTTTGCAATTTACAATATTACGAGACTAAACTTACTTGCATCACAAGCATTACTTACAAATTACAATAGCAATCAACATTGCTTACAATACTAGCAATATCTAAAATACTAACATACCTTTTTTTTTTTTTTACCAAGAATCGATTCTAATTAACGACAATACGACTAATAGGGTCAAAACTAAAAATAATACAGCTAACAGATACAATATTACTACTGCCACTAACACATTGTTCTAACAACGGACAAAAGTAAATATACAACAAAAACTAAAGAAAAAGGAAAGAAAGCGAAATATAGGGTCATGAAATACTGAAGTAAAGTTGTTCCTTTGGCAAAAGGAGAACCTAAATATCATTCAAGTAAATTGCTGTTTAAACAACAGGTCAAAGGAGAGATCAGGGCGTTTTAATGACTGGAGTATTTTGTGCCCTTCTGTTGGAATGCGTTTTGTGTTCCTGTAACAATTGAAACGTGTTTTTCTATTTTTAAATTGCATCTAACCTGATTAACGTATTCTATTGAGGATTAAATGTAATAAATGCATGATGAAATAAATGTAATTACTTACAGGAGTAAATGTAATATCTACCAAGTAGTAAACAATGATTGAATAAAGAAGAATTAGCGCCTTTTCTTAGCATGAAATTTCCTAACAAAAGGCCACGTTACTCAAAACGCAGTTTTAACGGAGTTTTAACCCGCCCGGGACTTTTTATTACCAGGGCGGTTTCATTCAGTTTGCTATGCTGTTAATGTTTCGCGTAGTATTATCTCCTACATCTTATGGACTTTTGAATTTCTTACAGTAATAAAAATATATGTTATATAAATGAACATAGTTTATATCGGTATTTGTGCGCTTTTATTCGAACAAAATCGAACCAATTCAGTTAGATTGGTTCGATTTAGTTCGGTAATCGAACTCACCAAAACTTTGGTAGAGTTCGATTGTGTTTGATTGCCAAAGCAATGAAAAAAAAAAACAATCGAACGACTAGAGTGATGTCGATTAATCATGAGTCTTACTATTTCGGTTTGGTTCGATTAATTAATTAATCCTGGAGAAAAGAACCAGCTCTTCGATAAAGGCCAGTTGCAATAGAGGTTACATTTCAATGGTTCCACTTGTCTAAAACGGTATCTCAGTCTTGCGAGCACCGTAGCAGCCTCGCATCAGTTTTTGGCGTCCTTTCGATAAAATTACAGTACAACATCCAGCCAGCATAAATCACCGCCCAACTGACAGTGGAAAGTGTTTGGAGTCTGTCTTAAATCGTTTCAGGTCAGTGACAACGGCTTAAACTTTGAGCATTGTTCGTCACTGTTGTCATTTCAAGGGCTACAGATTCGGCTTGATGTGTTTGGCAAGTAATCACTAGTTTCAACGACCTTCGGTATTTTTTCAGTCTCCACGCGTAGATGAACGCATCTAATGCCACCTTCAGAAACATCATTTCGTCCGCGAGAGTGGTCGCGGCCCACAAATCGAGGCTCTCTTGTAGAGTTTCCTGCTTCTTGTAAAAGATGATATGGACAGTAATGATATGAGGCAGAGTGCACAATATGAGAATTCCTGATAACAGTAAGATTACAATCGTAAACTGTCTCTCGTTTATTTGTTTCGATAGAGGCCTGATCTTGTCTCGATCCTCTTGGCTGCGCGCAACCACAAACTCACGAGACGCTGTGGCATATCGATGAAACGACTTCAAAAGCATGCCACAACCGATTATGAGCAAGATCGTGACAGGTGTTGCGTGAAGGTGCAGGTCTACTTGCAACAAGGTAAACGTGGAAACTCCCGCGAACTGCAGCAACGCAAATCCGGTGAAGTAAACGAGCGAGAACCCAACAAACCCGAAGATCGTACGTGTTGTCACGACTGAGTGATGGTGACGCGGGTATGTTATGGCAAGAAACTGCGACCAAATAAGACCCAGAACAAACAGAAACGACGTGTTGAGGACCACGGTGGAAATCCAAGTTGCAATTTGGCTCAAACTGTTGTATGGCTCTCCTGGTGTAGAGGACCATTGCATATAACTAGCCACACGATACATTACAAAGAAAGGCTCAACAAGCAGGCCCGTCGCTAAGTCGACCAAGGCTAAAGCGATGATGAGATACGTAGCTGGAGCTCGGAAGCATTTGAGAGGATCCTTCGAGATAGTGAGTAATAATAACACATTACTCGTGATTGTTATTGGTGATAGAACTGCCAAGGAGATGCCAGTAGCGAGCTGTGTGTAAAGAAAGAACTTGAAGTCCGCTGATGATGAATTAGACGGCAAAGTGCTGTTATTCATTGCTTTGTATTGTGTCTCCGAAACGTCCTACCAAATTTACCTTCTCAGGGTGCAAAATGATTTAGAATGACAATTTTCAAACTATTAATCGTCGATCTTCCTCTGATTGTTGCTGGTTTTGATTGTCTTTCCTTGAGTTGGAAGGCAGCTAATTGTAGTTTTCTTTAACTATGCTTATTAGCTAGACATTACTACAGACATGAATTTAATAGATGATCATTAGACCGTTTCTGACCAAACACGTTTAAAATGATCAATGACTGATGAATACTGAACGGCCAAAAACTATACAGCTGTCAATCATTGTGCTTTCAAATTCGAAGAACCGATCTCTTGTGTACTCGCTAGCACACAATAGTTTCTCAAGTCGTGTTACCGAGAACCTATCCAGCTAAAGGCTGAATTCTAGCTTTGGATTCGAAACTTACCACGAATCTGTTTCGCCCCTGGAGTGCGGAAATATCTCGTTATCGTTTTCTCTGCTACGCAACCGACCGATAAGTGAGTTCCGTCAATCAAACTTCCTAATACGGGTATATAAGTAATTAGGTTAATACCGCAACATTGTGAAAAACCCACAGGTTGTTATTCCGGGATGATTGTTTCTACACAGGATGCGAATGTGTTCTGTCCACGTCTACGTGTACTAAAGCGTGATCATTGTCTTCAAACATACATCTGATCACAAAGGTCCAACTTACGTGTAAGTAAGACTGAACAAGAAATAGTTCCGCCTCGAGCAACACTTAGGCTTCTTTGGTGCTCTCGAAACTTCCCGAGGGCATCATAACTGTCATAACTCAATGATGCACGCTAGGGCATGAATCAGACGGTGTTAGACACAACTCGCAAAGCATGCCGGAAGAAATTTTCCCCGGAGCTCATTTTCATCTGATCGCTGAACGGCAAACATCTCCATGCGCTGATGGTGATGTGGAAATATGACTTATAGGAGGTTCGTTCACATCCGATGCTGAAAGAAATCTGGAATGACATCCATATGAAATGTTCCGCAGGCCAAGTAATAGCTGTAGATGACTTCTGCTCGATTTACAAAGCCACCATTTTCAGTGCTAAACAGATGATCTTAGGAATCGAAACTTCGCGGTTCGTCGAATCTCTACGGTTGAAAGATAAATTATTTCCGTTTCTGGTCTCTTCGAATTCGATCTTAACTTGCCGGAATTGAATCTACCTTCGGCACTTTCCTTCTTAGATATCTCGACTTGTGTGTGAAGTGTATCAGTGTATCGCTGGCCAACAACATGGTTGTTGACAGATATTATGTTTTCGTTCGACGYTAAGAGAGCTGAGAAGTAAAACCTACGAAGAAAAGGGTTGAATAATTCGAAATCAAAGCAATGTTTTGTCCTTGAAAACTTGTGTAAAGCTTGATTAATCGAGTTTCGCCAGCTGTGTTTCCTTATTAACCAAAAGGAATCTTAAACAACTTGCTAATGAGCTATGACTCTTTGGGTGACCCGAAAACACTGAGCCCCGGTCCGCGGACCCCCACTACGGACCGGGTCCGCGGACTACCCCTACGGACCCCCTCCCAAAAATATAATAAAAATTAGAAATAAATACTTCACTCATGGGTTGTCTAATAGATTACTCGTCTCGGTGAATTTTCGAGTATTACACTGTGCAAATGTAATTGACACCCTTCTTCCCCCCGTCCCCCCGAAAAAAAAGCCTATAAGCTTTATTCAGCGTAAGGAGATGCCGATGGCAAAAAGAAGGAAAATTGTTACATCGCATTCGCGGCTCAATCTGACTATGGAAGATGAGTTTTTAGGTCGTTCAAGCTTGTTCGTATCTGTAACTGCGCTGAGCAAATTGTGAAGCCTGGAACGAGTTCACGAATCCACGTGAGAATGGGCTGAACAAAATGGTGGAGAGGAAAGAGCACAAATTCCGAGGCTTCCCGGAGGCTTCCTGGAGACTTTCACTGTCTTTCATATACAGTATGGCCACAGCAAAGGAAATGGCAATGTGTAATGATACAACTTGCGCCCGAGCTTTTACCCCACGAACGTTGAATTTACAAAATGTAAAGTTTGAAATTTCGCCGACACGATCTATTAGACAACCGATAACTGAAATATTTATTTCTTCTTAATTTTTTTTTTTTTTCATTCTATTTTGGGAGGTGGTCCGTAGAAGGGTCCGTAGGGGTAGTCCGTGGACCGGTCCATAGGTGGTCCGCGGACCCGGTCCGTAGTGGGGGTCCGC